CCAGCCTGCAGGCCGGGAGTTTCACACCCCTGCCCTAGATGATGGGCTCAAGATCCATTTACTTTATACTCCTTCTTCACGATGTTCTTTTCTTAATTTTGTAATTCCACTTTTTCTCCAGTCAGAGATGAAGCAACATTTTCCCCTCTTCATTTCTCAATTAAGTAGCTTCATTACCAGGTAAAATTTCTAGAATATCCAGAGGTTTCAAGTTTTCCTCCATTTTGGGACTGGTTTTCTTTTTTCTTTTCGTTCAGGGTCGCCATGTCGGACACGGAGACATTCAGAGGGGCCTTTCACCTACTCCCATGCCCATCATCCCTGCCCACCCTTTTCCTCTCAGACGCACTCCTCTTTCCCGCCTTTTCTAGAATCGTGACACTTTATCCCAAATCCACCAGGGGGAGCCCTCCGCCACGGGAAGGGAACTCCCGGCGCTTCCCCATTGGCTCTATGAAGGGCGAAAGTCACAGCTGTTTTTGTAGGAGAGGCTGGGAAGGAACAAATGCTCGCCGTTCTAGGATGCCGCACTCGCTCGCCTTAACCCCCGGGGCTCCACAGAACTCGGGGAGTTGCTGCGGGAGAGTCTTGCTGGGGGAGATACGCACTTGCTCCGGGTGAGGGGAGTCTCTTCCCTTACAAAGGGAGACGGAGGAGGGAGACAGCCGCGCCCGGCCCTCCTGCGGGTTCAACCCCGGGTGCCATGCTCCCCAGCCGACCTCTCCATAGGAAGAGCCCGAGTGGGGGAAGAGGAGGGTCGGCCTTGCGGAAGCCCAGCAGGAGAGGAGAGAAGCCGGGCGAGGAGAGGGAGGATTGGCACCCGGCTCCCCGAGGGCCCGATCCTGTCTCCGGAGGGGTAAAAGAAAAAAAAGAGCGGAATAATTTGCAGGGATGAATCCTGCGGCCCCAGAAATGGTCCTTTGAAGAAAAAAGCATCTGGAGATCCACAAGAGTCCTTGGACCCATTTGGATTTGCTCTGCAGAAGAGAGAAAGGATGGAGACACAACATTTTGCAAAGGAGGGGAATGGAAAAGGCCCTTCAACTGTTCAGCCTGGGAAGGGTGGTGAGATCTTGACAAGACCTGGGCAGAAGATCCTGGAAGAGGAAACCATCCTCCCTTCAGAAGTCCAGCCCTGGAACTTGATCCAATACCAGGAGGCTGAGGGCCCCCGAGGACTTTGCAGCCGACTCCATTACTTTTGTAGGCGATGGCTGAGACCAGAAAAGTACACCAAAGCTCAGATGCTGGATCTGGTTGTTCTGGAGCAGCTCCTGTTCCTTCTGCCCCCAGAGATGGAGGGTTGGGTGAGGGAGTGTGGAGCAGAGACCAGTTCCCAGGCTGTGGTCCTGGCGGAAGGCTTCCTCCTGAGCCAGGCGGACGACCAGAAGGAGCAGGTCAAGTTGCAGGTGAGAGATTTTAATCTAGGGAGCTCAGAAGGGAATAGAAAATATGTTTGAATATTTCACCCCTCCTTTCCAAACTTCTCCGACATTCATAATATTTCCCACCAATTCTTGTAGGACCATTGTTTTCTCACTCAACCATGTTGATGGATATTGGGGGCTTTGAGGTTGTGTTCCGGATATTGTGTTCCACTTTATTTTGTGATATACATTAATTCTGTTTCTTTTTTCCTTCCTCCTATTTGAAGTGCTGCACTGTGGAGATCAGAGATCCTGAGGGAAAGAAGAATCCATCAAATCCCCCTCAGGAGCTATTTTTCAGGAGGATCCCTTGCGAAGATCCATGTCGAGACACCACTGAAGGTAATCCAAGATCCTCCCATTACCCAGAGAGATCCCATTTGTCTTACCTTCTTCGCTTCTGTTACTTCCTCTTATTTTGTAATTATTTTATCGTTACAGAGAAACAAAGAATGAAGTTTCCTGTTTTTTATGATGGAGCTCAAACAGCGGTTGAACCTCCAAATCAAGTAAGAAAGGGAAAACTTATTAGATTTATATTCTCCCTTTCCTTCAGGCAGTAAAGCACGTATGTAGAGTGCTCTCTGTCCTTTTATTTTTCCCCTTCTGTGGATTGGATTAGTTTTGTGTTCCCGAGCAACATAGGAAACAGAATAGCAGGTTCAAGTTACTCTCAACCAGCATAGCTTTCTCTGTGGAATACTACTAGGACAAAATGGTTTGTCATTTCTACCCTCAAATTCTGTTTAGGAAATGACCATAGGTTAACTGGTTCTGCTAGGTAATCCACCAACTATGAGTTTAGACTAAATAATTTTCTAACAAGTCATTCAAGAAATAGGAATCAACATGTCACTGTGGTAGTAACTGCTAGAGACCAGTTCTTTTTGTAATTCTTTGACTAGGAATTCTGCAAGGCTAGTAAAAAATAACTAAATACATTGCCACGTTACCATTTTTTAAAAAGCCTTGTTCGTAACCAATAGTTCAAAAAATAAGCAAATATTATTGAAAAATAACATAGAATTTTAAAATGGAAAAAGAATGGTCCCATAAAGCATGGAATCGCGGTACTTTGGGCAACAAAATAATTTCTAATCCTCTGATTTGTGCCTGGATTAGGAGATGAAACATTCCCGCTTTGCAAAGAATGACCTTTGCAGAGAATTTTCTCTTCTTTGTTTTCTTCCATTCAGCCAATGGCTCAGATTACTAGATCAATAAATGAAAGAGCAATAGATCAGTGGGATTATTTTTCTGAAAGGCACTATAAGTTCGTCAGAATCAATCAACTTGATAAAACTTGCCCCAAATATTTCTTCAAACAAATATTCAGAATTGTCCGTATTATTACCTAAAATTAGGACTTGTGTGAAGCGCAGCCATTCAACTTGGTGTATAACTTTGCTTTGGAAATTTGAGAACCATGGAGCAGAATACTGTAACAGAGTTGGTAGGGATCTTGGAGGTCTTCTAGCCCAACCCCCTGCTCAGACAGGAAGCCCTATAACATTTCAGCTAAATGGCTGTCCAATTTCTTCTC